ATGTTTTTTTAAGCTTCTTTTCATCATTAGATTTTACATAAAATGAATGATATTTTGATATCTTATTTATAAAAAATAGTTTAGTTTTCAATTTTTTCACAATTTTTCAAAGATTTAAGGGAAAATTGGGAATAAATCCCTCATTGAAAAATTAATTGGCAAATGAGACCTAAAAACTTTGTGTAACTTAACTTTCTTTGTGTGCAATTTATGTTCCCTTATTTACAATAATTTTTCTTTATGTGATGTGCAATTCAATTTCTATTTGTGCAAATGAAATTCTCTTATATGCAAGTCATCTTCCCTATGTGCAAACTAATCCTTTATATCTAAATAATGTTTTGTGCAAACTATATTTCTTTTGTACAAGTAATCTTCCCTTGTGCAATTAATCATCCTTTGGCTATTTGCTAGTTAAATATGTAATGAGGGATTTATCCCCAATTTTTCTAAAATTTAATACTGTAAATCGTTCAGTTTCTTTTTAACTCACATTTAAAATATGAAAATAAAAAATATTTAAAATAAAACCTACTTTTACCAATAATTTGCATGCAGTTTAATAATTACGAAATAAACAATTTTCGTTCCTTACCTTCATTCTTAAAACATTTCAAAAATTATAATTATTTTAAGGATTACCGTACCATTATTATTAACCTGGAACCATGTTAGAAAATTCAGGCATAGCAAATAATAATTCCAGGCTCCCACAAAATGAAACTTGGAGGATGTTTCGCAAACAAAAAACAAGATCGAAGACTAAATTAGTTGAGATACTATCTCAACGGCTAGTGAGTCAGACCGAGATCAACTCAAGGTCAAATCAGTCATATTAAAATAATATGATTTAATTGAAAAAAATACAACAATATTAATAATCACTAATAACAAAATACAATAAAACGTAACAATAACAAAATACAAAAGTATTAAGAATTTTGATTTTTACTATTCCTTAATAACTAAAAATAATAATAACTGATAACAAAAGCATTATTAAAATTTATTTAAATCTATAGTGACTGAGATATTAGGAGTTGAATGAGAAAAAAAGAACCAACAGATACATAATCATCAAAACCGGTTCACTTCCGGTTCAATACTGGCTCAATTTTTGATTGGTTCAGCACTTAAACCAAACCAAACCATTGGCCGGTTCACTGGATTTCTAGTTAAATCAGCTAGTTCGATCAGATTTTTTATTTACTTACATATTTTAATTAAAATTAATATGCCAATATTTACATATTTTAATTTAAAATTAATATGCTAGTATTTAAATACCATCAGCATTTTTTCATTAGTAAGTTTAACAATGTCAATTTTAACGGAAAGGAATATGCTTTTTAAATTTAAGGGATTAAATTAAAACTTGATATAAACTTAAAGGACTAAATATATAACTTTGGCTTAAATATTTTATTTAAATATGGATTTTTATTAAATTTTATTTTTTATTCCATAATAAGAAAAGAATAAAAATACATAATAGAACAAATAATAAGTCAAGAACACAGAAATAAAAATGAAAATTTTTATTTTCTTAAAAAAAATTCATGAAATATATTTTCTAAAGAATCAATAATTAGTCACCTGGTAAGTTGTAATTATAAACGACGATTTAACTTGGCATAGACTTTTTGTCAACTACAAGTACACAATGTAGTTGCATTATAAATAAAAATATCATTCTAATCTTAAATGTAAGTCAATCTTTATTTAATTCTCATTGGAAATAGATAAAGAAGGGAAATATATGAAAGTGATTTGTAAATATTGAGAGAAAAAACTTTCATAATTAAGGTAAAATTGAAATTTTTTGTCAATTTAATGTATTTCTTAGTGTGTAAGAATGCATCATAAGCGACTTATATTAAGAATAAGAGTGGTTGCTTAAAAAAAAAAAAAGCACCAGAGTGTAAAGTTTTCCGAAACTTGTAGAAAAAAGAAGGATTCATCAAGGTTGATGCTAAACAGTCATTTTCATTTTACTAAGTAAAGAGGGAATTCTTTTTTCTAAATTAAATGCATTTTGGTAACTGTACATCAGAACTTATGTCTGATTAGATGTCGTGAAATTGATGAGTATATTTTCATGATTTACTTTATTATAGTTTATATTGGTATGTGGGACTTGAGAGTAATTTCTAATCAGAAATAAATCTTTATGTAGGTTTTTTTCCCCAAATGTATTATATTAATTCGTTATCAATTATCACAAGGATTTTTTCTGAAATTTTGAAACAATTAATGTTTTTTTCTTGGGCTTGGTGTCAAGAAGGAAACTGAAGATTTTTCCCCCAGAAAAGTTGTTGGTCATGGGGGTTTCATCTAATTCTGTTTTAATGACTTACGGATGTGTTTCTTTAAGCTTTTTTCATTATTATACTATAAACAGTAAATAAAAATACTGAAATGTTACACTGTAGGAAATATTTAGCAAAATGTTTCACTAGAAATCGTTCACCATACCATAAAAACAAGTTTAAATTTATACGAAAATTGCTTACGGAAAGAACCATTTTCACCTCTTGTCAACATATTGGGTGTGATTTTTATGTAAAAAAACCGTTCTCATTAAGAACGATTTTAGTTTGTACCTTCAAGCCATGGGCCCCCTTCAACACATTCATATTTTTATAACTTTATTAGTAAGTTTAAGGAAGGGATTTAATTACTAAAACATAGAAGAGTATGTAATAACAAGTTTGAAAATATGAAATGACAAAAATTCAGGTTGGTTACCTGTCATTAGGATTTTTTAATAATTAAATATTTTCCTTAAAACCTCATGATAATTCTCCCTAAATTAAATGCTCATAGTCTTTTTTTTCCCCTTTTTTTGATATAAGGAAGGAGAGCCCGTCTCAAGGGAATTTGAATATTCTTAATAAAAATTATTTCATTAAGAATCAGTTAACTAATTCATATATATGAAAATAATGAGAAAATGATAAAAAGAGAAGCTGAAAATTGCTAAATACAAAATCGGATCTGGTAATAACACTTTATTTAGTGTTGATAACATTGAATTTACATATAATAATAAATTTTATTGACATTCCTTATTTGATATTTAATAATTTTCAGCTTCTTTTTTGGTCATTTTTCTGAAATAAATAAATAAACTAGTTATTAATAGAAAAGCTTAACATAATTTTTGTAAAATGGATAGTTACACTTAAAATATTCTTTTATTTCATTATTGTTTTGAAGAAATGTTAATAGAGGTAGTTTGAAAAAACATTAGTATCATTGTTGGTTCTTATTACAATTTGTTCGAATTTTGTTTCTGTCCCTATAGTTTCGTTCAAATGCATATAATATAGATAATATAAGTTTGAAAAATTATACAAATCATTTAAATTTTTAATTTGAAAATTTGAAACACATTTTTTGCTACAAAAATTTATAAACAAATTTAGTTAAGTATATATTTATTAATAGAATTAATCAAATGTTTAATCATTTTTTATCTATATTAACTATTTCTTGAACTTCTGTCCAAGATAGTATGATAAAATAATAAATAAATAATTATTTGTGAAAAAATAAAAGTAAAAAAGAGAAAAATCTTAGGGCCTGTTTGTTTTTTGTTCCTTGTTTTCTTATTCCCAAAACAATTTTATAAAATTGTTTTTAGGAATAAGTTTTGGAAACAAAAAACAAAAAACTTTGTTTGGAAAATAATTTTTAAGAAATCACATTTTAAAAAAAATAAAAAACTATACTTTGACAAGTGGTAGTTATCACCGGTAGTGATAAGTAGTAGGTAACAGAGAAGAAGAGAAAAAGATTTCTCTAATTTTTCAAAACAGAAAAAATAAAAAACACAAAAACAAAAACAAGAAAATATGTAAAAGTTGTTTTAATTTTTCAGTTGTTAAAAACATATTATTTTTTTATTTTTTTAAAAAATCAACTAAAAACATATTGCCAAACAAGTTTTTTTGTTTTTCTATTTTTAAAAACAAAAAATTGTTCTCTGAACACGAAACCAAACAAGCCCTTAAATTCTTTGAAATAATTTTAGTCAAAATTAAGGATTTAATATGATCAAGGTAGCTTAGTAAATAAAATTTATTTAAATATTTTTTAAAAATATTCATAGTAGTTTGAAATGTTTTTAAAATAGAAAAAATGTTCTCATAATTAAGGAAAAATGCAAGAGAGATTAGACCCTTAATAGTATTCTATTCTTAAAGCGCTAGTTTTAGTCAAAATTAGAGATTTAATATATGATGACTATTTTTAAAATAGAAAATATCTTTGTCTAATTAAGACAAAATGCAAGAGAGAAATTAGATCCTTGATAGTATTCTGTTCAGTGGTAACATTCCTTGAACCGTTTGCCGGTAGGTTTTTGAATTTCCTCAATGATTCTGGAAGCTGCCATAGTTACCGGATTTACAACTGCAGTGGGGGCACCTCTTGCGAATTTTGTGCTTCAACAATTAAAGTCCAAACTTGAAGAAGACACTTCGCTTGGTGACATGCATAGAGCGCTAAACGATGGATTAGAGTGGTTACTTGCTTTGCTAACGGACAAAGGCAATGAAGTGTCGAGCAATATACATAAAGATACATCCAGTGTTTACCTGGTTTGGACGCACCGTGTATCAACAGTTCAGGAAAAGGTGACTTCCTTGAATAACAAATATGAAGAAGTGAGGGGAAAGAAATTGTGTTTATGGAGAAAGAGGGGTCTCAAAGAGAAGATCAAAACGACACTCAAAGAGGTAATCGAGCTTCTTGAAAAATGTCCAGAACAGATTCTAGTTAAGCTGCCAGAGCGCGTCATTAAGGAGACTGGTGTTCCATCAATTGCGGAGTACCCGACTCTTCACAATGCCTTCTAAGAAATTCTAACTCTGCTACAAGATGATAATAATGGAGTGAAATGCGTGGCACTTCATGGACAAAAAGGGGTGGGGAAAACAACACTAACGCAAAACTTAAATAACCACTTTTACCACACCTTTGACAAGTTGTTTGATATGGTGATTTTCATCAAAGTGCCTGCTGATGAGCAAACTAAAGACCTTCACATTTTGCAGAAAATTGCAGATCGAATAAAGGTGGATAGAGAAGGTTATGAATTTGAAATTGCTAGAAGAATACTGGAAGTGCTCGAAGGCAAAAGATATTTGCTGATTTTAGATGGTGTAAGGCGCACACCCGATGGGATTTGGGAAAAATTGGACATTTCAAAAGACATCAAAGATAGTAAGGTGGTGATAACGACTCATTATCCTCTTGCTTTGAAGTCAAAATGTGTTCAAAGGAAAGTCCAGCTCGAAAGGTTATCTACTAATGAAGCATGGAAGATGTTTCGAGACATTGTTGGTGACAACCTTTTACCAGACATACCAACAGCTCGACAAGTATGCACGAGGTTCTGCTCGTGTCTTCCCCTCCTTATAAGTCCTATTGCAAGGTCTTTTAAATATCAAGAGTCTCCCACTGATTGGCAGAGCGCTTTCAGTGAATGGACACCTTGGCCTGAAGTTGGAGTTGATGGTTTAAAAGAGTTATACTCAAATTTGGAAATCTGTTATCAACTGTTGGGTGACGAAAGTAAACAAAAATGCTTCCTTTATGCTTCACTATATCCTGCAAATAGCAAGATATACACAAATTACTTAGTGGAGTGTTGTATAGTTCAGGGCTTTCTTGGTGATGTTGATGAAGCTACCAAGTACAGTGCCATGCGCAGCCGAGGTACTAAGGTAATATTGAGGCACCTTGTAAATGTCGCATTCTTGGAGGAAGGGGAACAAATGAGGTATATTAAAATGAAGGATCTCTACAGGCAACTTGCTTTGTATATATCATCCAAGTTTTCAGATTTAGAATGTAGAACTTATGTTGATAATGAAGAACATGACGAGCCCCTTAGATCGAAATCATGGCAGCATGCCAGATGGATTTCCATGGTTAGCAGTAAAAGGGATGGTCTACCAACAAACCAAAATTGTGGGAGTCTTCAAACACTGTTGCTACAAAAGAATCTAAAGTTGGTTGAAATCCCACCGGCCTATTTTGGTAGCATGGGCAATCTTATTGTGTTAAACTTGTATGGTACCAAAATAAGGAGTTTACCATCTTTGTCAGGATTAACTAAGCTCAAGGCATTCTATCTAAATGGTTGTTTAGACTTGACGATAATTCCATCTCAGGTCCAACCACTTAGACACCTTGAGGTTTTTGACATTCGAGATACTAGAGTGAATTTTGTGCCATGTTTGGAAAGTTTGCGGTGCCTAAGAATCTCATACATTGGAAGCCTCAATCAAAGGGGAGATGCAAGTAATGATCATCCAATTTCAGTGGTTCAGAAATTAGAAGAATTGACCATCGAAGTGAAATCCCTACCGCAATGCTGTAATGAGGTTGAAATTGTTATGCAAAAATTTGCTTCTTTAAAAAACCTAACAACTTTCAGATGCAAATTTCCTTCCTCAGAAACCCTCGAAAAAATCCGGAAGACTATCGAATCATGGAGAGATGAGAAGCAATTACTTCATTTCAAGTTTTTGTGGGATGTGAAGACTCAAAACATTTGAAAAAATCATTGAATCTTTTGACTCTATATAGAATTTTCCAAGTATGTAAAGCATTGCAATGTTGAGAAAAAAGATGGCTTGGCAATCACTGAGATGCTCTTTTAAGTTGGCTCCTTTGAGCTAATTTGTCACAAGAACGTTGGAAATCTATGAGAGTTGCCAAAGACATCAACGTTGGTGTCAAAAGTACAAGACTTGTTTATTCAAGCGTGATGGCTGACTTAGATGTCTCCCTGTTGCTCATAATAATCTGTAGAAGGTGTAAGACTTGTATGTTTTGTTATGCTTTCAAATGATACTACACTGCAAAATCTCAGAAAGTATTGTCATCCTTGATATTTGTTTTAATGTTTACTAGAAGTTATTTTGGGTTATCTTTTTCCTTTTGTATCTTAGGAAGGTGAACTTGGTTTGAACTAAGACTTATTTCCAGGATGCCCCATGTTCTAATTTGCGGGTTCTATGCTAATATGCTACATATTTGAACTAAACAATGGTAAAATTGTCAGCATCCATTGATCAGGCTTATTGCACTTCACTGGCGATCCGCGAGTTCTATGCTAATATGTTTTAGTTTGTCTTTGAACTTCAATTGGTGCGAGACCTGAAGCACTTTTCTTATGTTAAAAGGAGAACCCTCTAAAAAATCTTAGATTCGTCGTGTATTAACGCTATCACAGCCTATTACAAGTTCGTGGAATATATGCAAAAAGCTCAACAATTCAAAGTGAATATGAAATAACCGGTGTTTTGTTATTACTCAACATTTCACAAATGAAGAGCAAGTAAAGATTTTAATTTACAGGACAACGATCAAGGTCTGTTTCACTACGGTGAAGCTACAATTATTCCAACTTGAGTTTCTCTCTGTTTGGTAATATAAATTACAAACCCCAAGCATACCATCCTTCACTTGATTCAGAGACTCTTCCACAAGGCATGCTCCACTTGTATCCTCCGCATTTGTTTGCTTGCTTGAGACGGTTAATAAGAATTTCAAGTTTCTTGAGAAACAAGCGGCATGCATCGAGGAACTTCAGCATGCACACCTTGGATAAAAAATATGAAAAAACATATGCATCCTGACAGCCCATCATTGAAATAAAAAGATATGGGGATACATTTAAAAAGAAAATTACAGCGCAGTCTCACAGAATCAATTTAATTATTAAAAGGGTTAATTAAGATGCAATTTTATCTCGCAAGTTTTCGCTAAAGAGCTTTGGGTATTTGAAAGTTGTTTTAGGAGTAAATTTGCTCCAAAAATTTAAAATCATAACAATATTATCTCCTACTATTAAAAATGTTAACAGAAGTTGAAAATCATAATCATGAGTGTGTTTGAAACCCTTTACATAAAATTTTTTATCCTTGACTCCTTATGTTTAGATGAAAGTATTGAGTCAGTTTTTTTTTAATAGTATATACATACACACAATTTGATGCAAACCTTATATACATACATACATACATATATATACACACGTTATAAAAGAATGGGATAATTAATCCGCAAATCCTTATAGTTTCAACGAATTTTGAATTAGGTCCTTATAGTTTTTTTTCTTTTTATCAGGTTCTTATACTTTCACTTGTTTTTAATTAGGTCCTTGTATTTATTTTTCTTTTTATGAAGTCCTTATAAATTCACCTTATTTTTAATTAAGTCCCTGAATTTTTTATTCTTTATTTTATAAATTCTAATAGTACTATTATATAAACATAAAATAGTATATATTATTTAATATTAGTTTATAAACAATAATATTCTAAATATATTGAATTATTATAATGATTTTATTTTTTTCAGCAAAAAAATTAATTGTTCTAAAAAAATTTCCTGAATTAATTAATTCTATTACTTTTTTATTACATAATTATTAATTTAATTTAATTATTAATATTTTATATTTCAGTATTAATCTATTTGATTAAGCTTATATTTAATTAAGAAATAAAAATTAAAACTACATGGACCTAATTAAAAATTTAGTGAAATTATAAGGACTTAATTAAAAGAAAAATAAATACAAGGACCTAATTAAAAAAAGGATAAAAGTATAAGGACCTAATAAAAAGAAAAAAAAACTATAGGGACCTGATTCAAAATTTGTTGAAATTATAAGGACTTGCAGATTAATTAACCCTAAAAGAATTTAACAAATTGCATTGTCATGAAACATAAACATAATGCGGCTTATTTTTTAAATTATGTGCAATAACGAGAACCTCATTTAAAAAAATATATTTGACGTATAATATATTTATACTAGATTCAACCTTTGTTTTGAATAAATTGAACTTGTCTTGAAAATTTTCAAGCTTCCATTAACCAAATAAGCAACTAGAACTAACATAGACATAATGATAAAACTTTCAATATACTAATAATAGAAAGTATCGAGATGGAGGCATATATAATGGGGAGAAAGACAGAAAAATGATAGTTAAATAATGAAATCCCCAAATGGTCATATAAATAAGGAAAATTTCAATTTAGGTATAGATGATCAAATTGGGATTTGTAAATTTGCTGAAATGATCATATTGCCCTTTATTTTTCCTTTTTTTTAAAAACCAAACACTCTCACTAGTCAGCTAGTCACCGGAGCTCCGGTGTCGCTAGCAACTATAGGACTTTGGGTGAGTAGCCAGTTATTGGAGCTCAAATGATCAATCACTCGAGTTTTAGTGGCCTGCATCTATTTTTCTTTCGGAGATTTTTTTTCAATTCCGGTAATGTGATTAACAAGTTCTTTAATATTATTAATGTGTTCACTATAACAATTAATAACATGTTTTTTTACAAAATTTTGTAACTTGAGAACGTAGTTAACAAGTTCTGTAATGTTGTTAACAAATTTAGTACATCATTTAACAATAGATTTTTTTAAAAATTTAAAAAGTAGCTTTTTTACAACTTCAGTAATTCAGTTAATAAGTCATATGATGGTATTAACAACTCTCATGACGTTATAAAAGTTGTAAATATCATTACATGACTTGTTATTAGAGCTGTTAATGGTACTATAAGAATTGTTAATATCATTTATGACTTGTTAACCGCGTTACTAAAGTTGTAAAAATGTTATTTTTTGAATTTCCTGAAAGAGTTATTGTTAACTATTATACCAAACTTGTTAATCGCATTACAAAACTTATTAATTGCATTATTAAAATTGTAAAAATGCTACTTTTTGAATTTTTCAAAAAACTTGTTGTCAACTGCTATGCTAAACTTGTTAATAGCATTAAAAAACTGGTTATTCACATTACTGGATTTGAAAAAAATTTCAAAAAAATAGATGCCCCCGCCTAAGCTCTGGCAATTGGTCATCGATTGGCCACCGGAGCTTCAGTGATAGTAGCCCACCTGAACTCCAGTAGCCACCGCCAGCACTAGAATAGTTGTTAATAGTCTTTCATCAAGCTGCTTTGGATGGTACAAAGATTGCTCTCACCCCGTTGCAGATTTCTCGCGTTTTCCTTCTTCCATGAGCATTTGGCAAATCTGTGCTACTTCGTTGCTATTTCAATGAATGAGGAAATGCATAACTTTTCATGCTCATATGGTCCTCAATCCACATCCAACTTTCATTGAAAACAAAAGGAGAGGTCAGCCAAGAGAGTAGTTAAACAATTTTGCAACATTTACAAAATATTGATTTTTTGAGCAAGTATCATATATAACAAGTGTGACCTAATGAGAATTTAAAAATACATAGAAGATGATATGGGTGTATCATATCAAACAAATCTTTTAGTGCATGGCAACACAATCTGCTCAAGAAGAGAGTCGTTGGATTGGTCAGATGTGGAATTGTAAATTCTTGGATGACTAGAAAAAGCCAGTTCAAGTTGTGTTCGCACTGTAGTCATATGTTTCATGCGCTGAAGGTTTAGTACAACATTCCATAGTAGAAAATGACTCAAGATCTGAATTGGATGCCGACTTGCCTCTCTACTTTACACTGTGATGTAAAACTAGCTCTGACACCCGGGAGGCTTGTGTGTTAGTGTCACTTCTCCTGTAGGTGATTTTAGAGATAACTAGTTGAAATAAAGTCAAGCTTACAAATACACACAAATTTTTGTACAGTCTTGTAAATAAACAAAGATATGTGGAATATAATCATGCATATATACTTGCTGCTTCTTTAGCAATTTGCTTTCGATCCACTAGCATTCTCAAATTAGAAGGCTGTGAAGCTGTAGATTTTAACGGGGCCAAGGACTCAAGGGAAACTGTTATGCTATAGATATAAATTCCACTGATTAGAGGAAGAAAAGAGGTCATCTCACATTGAAATAACAACATATATCAAATATACAAATAGATATAGAATTACCCGAAAGATAGTAAATATCATCATCATCGTCTACCTCAGATTGAGTCCTTCAGTTGATCTAATTGTTCACGGAGGAATTTGATCCACTGGAAGACTGCAGTGGTTCACCCACTATCCCCCCTATTTCAATATCATTTCACATAGTGAATTAAAGAAACTGTCATGTGGATAATTGATAATTCACCCTATCCAAGGAAGTAAACAAGGTTATTGAAAAGAAAAAAGGGAAAGTAATTAAACAAGGTTAGATCTACCTGGATTGTCATCATCATCCAACTTCAATTGACTCATAGTGTTAGCCTGTTTATCAATTGGAGAAAACAGGGAATCAAAAATAGATGGCTGGCCAGGCCAGCTATTCCCTATTCTTCTTCACTCCATGTCAATGCCTCCGACCACTTGGCTTCTTCTTTGATGACTTTCAAATTTTGACTTGACAGTTTCCTTTCTATATAAGAATAATTGACTTCATCAATGGCAAACTAGTGCCACGTCCTGGAAATATCCCCATCCACAGATAATTTTACTACCGTGCTGGTACTTAAGAAAGAAATCCACATCAGCTAAAGAATATAAGATGAAGCAGTACTCTTAAATAGGGAATTATGCATGCAGAAAAGAGACATAAAAATTTGGGAAAATTTCACTGTA